AGGATTAGGCACAAGGCTCTAAGTATAGTTGACCTCTTCCCATATTCATCCCAGGGTAGAACAAGTGTGCAGAGGGAAGCTGGGAGAAAGGATTTCTTCAGCATCCCCCATGATCAGAGTCAGGCAATTCTTGAGCAAGAGGGCTGGGCCTGGATTCAGATCTGGTCCAGGCTTTGCTGTGGATTTGCTGTGTGACCTCAGGCAAGTCTGATGCCTTGGTTTCATCAGTAAATGCACAGGTGGACTAAATGGGTGTGTGAGGCATTGCCCAGCCTTTCTTAAAAAGACCTGAGAAGAGAGATGATAGACATGGACAGTGGGCAAGGAAGGGCTTCAGGAACAGCTGGGAGAGGGGTCAGATTGCAGGGTTGGGCATAGAGGGACAGTCCCAGCCCTGGGAGGGGCAGGCAGCTGGCAGCTGCGTTGAGTTGCCTGACAGACCTGCCAGCCAGGAACAGCTGGGCAGTTCCTGCTCTCCTTGCCTGTCCCTCGTCGCTTGTTGTGTGTCCTGAAGGCTCCAGCAGAGCTCAACAACCATGCCCCCACCTAGGCTTCTGGGCCACTGCCCATGGACCATCTCTTCAGTGAGGCAGGAGGGAACCTCTGAAGGAAAATCTAGGGACAGGTGTGTGGGTTGAGTGGCACCAGAAGAGACCAGCTCAGGGTGCTGGAATCCCAGCTCTGCTCCGATGGCTGGATATCCTCAGCCACTGAGTGCCTGGGGCTGTTGTAGACAAAGAGTGAAAGGGTTGAGCCATGCTCCAAAACCAGGCAGTGCCTCCTAGCCCCATGGGGACACATGCTTCCCTGCTCCCAAGATCTCAGGAAGGGTCGGCCATCATGAGGAGCAGGATATAGCCCACTCCTCCTCATCCCCACCTGCTCCCTCCCCTCCTTCCCATGGAGAACACACCACTAGAAAACACCTTGCGTGGTGTCTGTGGCTGATGCTTTACCAGGCCTTGTGCCCCTGCCTCCTGAGGGAGGTCAATCACCACTGGCACCACAAAAATCAAAAGCAAGTGGGTGGACCCCACCCAGGGGTCCAAGAATGGACCACTCTGGGCTCCCAAGAATGGGGAAGGACCTCCCTGGCACAGTCACCCTATGGCCCAGAGAACAGCCTGGGCTTCTGAGGAAGCCAAGGGACACCTGGAGCTCAGAGCCCTAACTCTAGATGCTCCCTTAACATACTTGGGCCAAGGCCACAGGGACAACACTGATGGGTGCCCACAGGTCTGCATGCTGCTCCCCCCAGTGCTCCTGGGAAGCCAAAGCATTAGGCCCAGGGGAGACTAGGGGGTTTTAGGGAGCTGCCAGCACCAGATTACAAGCTGGGGGTGATGTGCACAGATGCTTTTGATCTTTGTGGCATTAGCGATGACTGAGCCCCATTCAGGAGGCAGAGGGACAAGGCCCAGCGCACAGTCAGCCAGACACTATCCCAGGTGTTTTCTGGTGGTGTGTCCTTTACAGAAAGGAGGGAGGAGAGCAGGTGGGGTTAGGCAGAAGCTGAGCAGGGGTGTAAGACACTGCGTCTGGGCTCTGGAAGATGTCTCAGCTGTGGGAAGAGTCCACCATCCTGGTCCTGCCTGCAGCCTCCTTGACCAATGCCTGTCAAGCTCCAGCCATTGGTCTTTCCTGCCGGGTGGAGCTCATGAGTGAGAGCTCTATTGGGGGGAGCGCCACTGTGTTTCCCCCAAAGTGGCAACCAGCACACACCACCTTAAGCTGCTGGACACCAGGCTGAGCTCTTAAGACACCATGTCTGAAAGAACCCTTACAGCCCCCCCTTTACAGCTGAGGAAACTGAATCACGTGCCTAACATTAAGTGGCAAGGACAGGGTTATGCGGCTGGGTCCAGGTCTGTCTAGCTCCTGTGCTCAGTTGCTGCCTGGATGCTCTGTATTGGAGTCTTTTCATGAATACAGAGGGCTGAGGGGTCTTCTGCTTAACTCAGCAGCCCGTGGTCTTCATGAGACCCTGACCAGGGCCACCAGGCCTCAAGGGCTGGAAGCAGATACTTCTCAGAGCACAGGGATCTTCTCCAAGCCAGGGAAGCCAGAGTGAAGGAGTAGTCTGTGAGACTCAGCTGGAGAGCAGTGAGGGATGGGACAGCAGCTCACAGGCTCTGGTAGCCAGAGCAAGCTAAGCGCTGGGCTTGAAGTTGCAGTCCCTTAACAGCTAGGGAGCCCTGTGCGCACTGCAGCCTGCACTGCACAGCCACATCCAGACCTCCTGGGGACGGTGGTAGCAACAGGAGCATAGGAGCTATCACAGTATCCAGTGAAGAGACCAGTTCCCCTTCCCCCAGAAACAGGGAGTGAGTATAGGCCTCAGGGCCCCAACACTCAAAAACAAGAATCCTGCCAAGTTGAGGGCCCAGCAGAGACTTCAGTAATGCTTGTTGTACCCAGCCCAAGCCCAGCCCCAGAGAAAGGACTAGGTTGCCCCCTCCCCCTTGTCCCCAGACCCTGTTCCAGGCCCCAGCTGGCTTCCTGGCTGGCTGCTGGCTCTGGCTTTCACCCCAAAGGGAGCCACTGGTAAACAGGAAATGCTTCCCTATTAGATGCCTGCTCTGGGCCTCATCGCCAAGCCCACAGGCTGAGGGCAATATCCAAGCAGCAGGCGGCAGGGGTTGGGGGGGTACTAATGGGGTGCCCCAGTTCTCTAGGGTAGCTGCTGGGCAGGAGGCTGAGCCCCACCAGCCTTGACTCGGCTCCAGATCCCTTGCTCTCTACCCGTAGCCCCCATGTGACCTGGTGCCTGATGCTGAGCCTTCTCCCTCCTCCCAGAGCCAGTCTGAATGCAGCCCCCAAGTCTCAGAAGGCTGACTCCCCCAGCATCGACTACACAGAGCTGCTGCAGCACTTTGAGAAGGTCCAGAACAAGCACCTGGAAGTGAGGCACCAGCGGAGTGGGCGTGGGGATCCCATGGACCGGAAGATCATCCTCTGACAGTCCTGACATGAAGGGCCCAATGAGTGGTCCCATGAAACACTCAGGGTCTTCACCCCCACAAACCCTAGGAACCTGAGAACCTGCCTCTCAGGGCCAGGGCTGGACCTGACCACCAGCCCAGGGCTGGGCCGGGGGTGGCCGGATGCTGCTCTATCTACCCAAGCTCCTCTCAGGGCCCAGGCCCTCAGTGCTGTCAGCTCAGCTGCACCTGCCACTCAGATAGAGCTGGCTGCCCACCCAGTGGGATGAGAGGGACACAGCCTCAAATGCTACCCATCCCTTGGAATCAGTCTCTTTCTAATACCCTCTTGGAAAAAGATCTTGAACTCCTCCAGCCCAGCAAAGCTCTGGCCTTATGTGTGTGTATGTGCATACATGTGTGAATGTGTGTTATGTACATGTGTATACATACTTGTATGCACATAGAGGCCAGCACAGAGATCTCTACTGAATGATGCACCTCTACACCCCAATAAAGAAATAACAGAAAACCCTCAACCCAAACCCACCTGCTCTTTTCTGTCCTGGACACCTGATCTCATGGTGGCCCCAAGGAGTCCTAGCTGCACCCCAAGGGCCTGGGGTCCAGTTCTCCACCTCTAAGACCCACACCTACAGAGCACAGGCACTGGCCTGCCCTGGGACCCTGAACGGTAATCTGATTTCCATCTTGTCAGCATGAGTCATTGGGCAGTGGGACGTCCCCACGATGGGAGCTGTACCTCAGAAGTTTCTGGATGGAAAGGGAATTACACACAGCAGAACACTTTGCAGATCACTGGGTGATGAAGGAAAGGCCCAGAGGCCAGTCTAGGGACAGACAGGTGCCCCAACCCTTGCTTTGGCTGAAAGAGTCCCTTTTCACCCATACCTGTAAACCAGGATCACCTGTGCCCAGTCTTTGGGAAGCCTGAGTTTATCCTCATAAGCTCTAGAGTGGCTCCTACAGGCTCCTGGGGTAGGAGGGAAGGAGTTTGAATCCCTTTTCACCCATACCTGTAAACCAGGATCACCTGTGCCCAGTCTTTGGGAAGCCTGAGTTTATTCTCATAAGCTCTAGAGTGGCTCCTACAGACTCCTGGGGTAGGAGGGAAGGAGTTTGTTCTTGCTTTGCCCCCAGCATGGAGCTACCCCTCCAGATGGGCTTCCCTGCCTGGAGCTCCCAGAAAGACAGGCTGAACTTGCCCTCACTCCCATGCATGTGCATTTGTACCCACGGACGAGGGCCGACACAGGCTCAGGAAGGAATTGTTCACAGGTGAGGAGACCACCCTCCATCACAAAAGCCAGGCCTCAGTCATCCCATCCCTTGCCATTGGAAAAGGAGCTTGAGAACTTAAGCCGGAGGGTCTGTGTCTCCGGCGAAATGTCCCAAGGTGGGCAGTCCCATGACACTGATCTGCCCCCAGCTCCATACTAAGTATCCGTCTGGGGATGCACCGACCCCATCTCACTCCCCCAATGACCCCCAGACCAAAGGGCAGGAGATGGACTCGAGGCCCTATCCTGGACGTTGAGACCCCAGCAGCCATCCTGCCCCCGCGTGCGCAGGATAGGCCCCGCCCGAGCGCCACCCTAACCCGTGGGGGCGCCCGGGCCCGCGGGCCCCGGTCGCCCGACCAGTCTGCCAGCGCCCGGGCTCGGATTTCAAAGCCTGGTCCAGGCCGCG